GCCTTCGTCTAGACCCGAAAGGCTATTATTCTCGAGCCGCAATTGACCATCATGACGATGATGACTGGGATGTCCAGCTTGAACTTCGGCGTGGGGTTGTCTACACGGAACATCCCAATATGCTCGTGCGTCTTGAAAACCTGGGAAAATGTTTGGTCTCATACCAAGCATGTAAAATCGTTGTTAAGGGCAACCAAGGACCCATTATCACTACGCAATCTTTTCTAAAACTGAGTGCTAGCAGACCTCTCTTCTATGGGGTTGTTGCGACCGAGATTAAAGCTAAGACTAAGTACTGCTGCAAAGCGTGGTGCGAGCTGGACACAGACCTACGACATCTCGTAAAACCTCCAGGGGGGTCGACGATATATCTCGAGCTATTACTGGGCCCGGCTGCACAAGCAGACCCGCTCCCTGTCCTTCCCGGTGTCTCCATCAAATGGGATGCATCAACACACGGCAAGCATATTGCACTGGTTATTAACCGTTCCGAAGGAACAGACGGGAAGTGGACGGCACGGTCGTCTGAGCAGGATGTTGTTGTCTCTCTGGGAGCAGAGGTTGGGGTGGATGAAATAATATTTCATCCGACGTATGCCTTCGTTCGACTGCTTTTCTCGTCTGCCCCGGTCAATGAATACCGCATTGATCAATTAATCTCTAAGTTGAAGAAATGAATCATAAAAATAAACATTGTCGTCCCGACATGAATAAGTTGTACCCAAGCGTTCCCGGCGGAGCCGTAGTAAATGATCAACAGTTTCGGCTGATATGCCAGCGGTGAGCCACACACCACGGGCTCTCGACGAGGTGATAGACGAGGTACCAGCGTACCCGAAAAGAAGAGGTCGGGTCCAAGGTCGCGTCGGATGAAGCCGGCAAAAAAAGGAATTGCTGGAAAAGGGTCGCGAGAAGCCCGCGCCGAGTTTGTAGAATATCATGGCCACTTTCAGTGCACCCAAAAATGCGCTTGTGTGTGTGGGTCTGATGTTGTAATATTGCCCCACAGCCGGAAGAGCCTCCACCTCCATATAGAGATTTGAGCCCCTGAACCATTCAACCACAGGTTGCACCCGTCGTACCGACGGCACCCTATGAGTGGTATATTACCCAGCGAGGTTAATTATTTTTAGTACAGATTTCTGGAAAAATTTCATACAGCGTGACAAAAACTGGTGTGATAATAAAAGCTCCTCGCTCATATTTGCTTATATACGAGGTTAGGGTCGGTCATTGCTAGCCTAACTGCAATCGGGAGTGGTTATCCGCATAATAAAAAGCATCCCAGTCTCTGTTGGCGCAGCTGTATGGGCTGCTTTTGGTATATACAGCCTTTCTGTGCCTGGCTTAGTAAGTGCTCAGTCTAAGTTGGCGCAGCATTCGATCACCGCTTATAGTTTCATACAGCCTAACTGTTTCCTCACATAGCATTTCCAACACACACGTATAAGAAAATCCAAAGCACAAGTGTCTCTCCTGATTATCTAAAAGGTCAATTGCTATAACCACGCTGGTCGCAATTCGAACTGCTGCTGACATGTCAATGCTGAGATTTTGCGGTGTTTGTATTTAGAAAACTAATCCGCGAAATTCTGTACGGCCAAAAGCCTTATTATCTTTCACGAACTTGAGAGCTATGGTTTTAAAGGCATCCACGAGTATTAGGCGAATGAGGTAATGGCTGCACGACAGATGGGGCTTATATAGACTCTGTGACGTCAAAGGGTCCAGCCCACCGTCCTTCCTGCAAGTAACCTCACGTGACAGAAAAAACCCACTCCGGAACACTGCTCACGTTCCAGGATGATAAGTGAGCAGCTCTTAACGCGGATAGGCTTACCCGCTTATAACCCCGGCCTTTTGCAGCAGCGGATAGAGAATTCATAACCGTTGCGGGAGCATAGTGCGTTTGTTTTGGAGTGCGTCGATAAAGATGTTACGTTTGTAGTCTTGACATTTTTAGCAGAGGTTGCAGTCCCAGCCTTTCTCTCTGAGATCTGCTAAATTTCTAAATAGATTAGGCATATCGTAGAAGAATTAAGATCTCGAATCTGTAGGCGCCAAACTACCTTCAACGTGTAACCAATTTGCCACCCGAAACCCACGGCAAGCTTTCGTCTTTTACGCGCCCCCAGCCCCCTCGTGTTGCGATGCGCGAACCTACGTTTCTGCGATGTGTGTAACCTAGCGATGGGCCTTGGCCCTCCAAAGCTTATACGTTATACTTGTAACGAGGGCTGACATGATGCAAACGAAACTTTCCCGTGTCTTTAGAGGGCTGACATGATTGCAAAGGAGAGGGGGGCACTCCCGCGTCTGCGTTATACGGGTGGGGGCCGTGGATGACGAAACGGGGCCGTGGGTTTGGGGTGGTATCATTTTGACGCCCATATAGTAGTCTACAACAAAGGTAGTTACTGATGTTTGAACTGTTAGAAAGGTAGGTGCTGATGTTTGGACTACAACAAAGGTAGTTACTGATGTTTGAACTGTTAGAAAGGAAGGTGCTGATGTTTGAACTGTTAGAAAGGTAGGTGCTGATGTTTGAACTGTAAGAAGGTTAGTTACTGATGTTTGAACTGTAAGAAAGGTAGGTGCTGATGTTTGGACTACAACAAAGGTAGTTACTGATGTTTGAACTGTTAGAAAGGTAGGTGCTGATGTTTGGACTACAACAAAGGTAGTTACTGATGTTTGAACTGTTAGAAAGGAAGGTGCTGATGTTTGAACTGTTAGAAAGGTAGGTGCTGATGTTTGAACTGTAAGAAGGTTAGTTACTGATGTTTGAACTGTAAGAAAGGTAGGTGCTGATGTTTGGACTACAACAAAGGTAGTTACTGATGTTTGAACTGTAAGAAAGGTAGGTGCTGATGTTTGAAATGTAAGAGAGGTAGGTATTGATGTTTGGACTACAACAAAGGTAGTTACTGATGTTTGAACTGTAAGAAAGGTAGGTGCTGATGTTTGAACTGTAAGAAAGGTAGGTGCTGATGTTTGAACTGTAAGAAAGGTAGGTGCTGATGTTTGAACTGTAAGAAAGGTAGGTGCTGATGTTTGAACTGTAATAAAGATAGGTCCTGATGTTTAAATGGTAAGAAAGGTAGGCGCTGATGTTTGAACTGTAAGAAAGGTATGTCCTGATGTTTAAATGGTAAGAAAGGTAGGCACTGATGTTTGAACCATTTTATTTGGTTTGGGACCAAGACACCAGCAGACAGGTCAATGAAAAAGCCTTTAATGAGCTTTTTTTTTGGTGTTTTTTAAAAGTAAAATACTCTACTTACACCTATAGTGCATCAGGAATATGATGTTATAAACTATTATTTTTTTATAAACCAATCACCTGGGGGAGCTGATAGAGACATTAAAATATGAATGGAAAAGGGAAGAGGAACTTTCATAGCACTAGGAGATTTGTGGAGGTCAAAAGTAATTAAAACTAATACTAAACTTAAAATTCTGAGTTCTTGTCCAATCAGTTTTGTTGTATGGAGCTGAAACAGGGAGGAAAACTAAGGTAGTTACTAATAAACTAAAAACATTCATTAGCTGGTGTCTGCACAGAACAGAATTAATTAAATGGTATCATAGAATAACTACGGTTGAGCTTTGGGAAAGAACTAAACAAGTTCCGATGAGATGAAGAAAAGACTGGCAATGGATAGGATACACATTGAGAAATCCTGAGAACAGTCTAACTAGATTGTCTTTGCACTGGATCCCACAGGGGCATAGAAATAAAGGCAGACCAAAAAAACACATGGAGAAGGAGCTAGAGAGGGAAGTTAAAAAGATGGGAAGGACCTGGGTAGAGCTGCATGCAATAGCGAAGGATAGAACGACTTGGCATTAGTTAATTGAGGGCCTATGCTTCATTTAGGGACACAAGGCAGAAGAAGAATTGGCAGTCGGTAGGCGATGTGGTCAACGTCACGCTGGAACCCCTTTCCAGGACATTAACTTGTCCCTATTTTAGTTTGAGTCAACCTGGGAGCCAAGGCCAAGGTTAGTTTTCAACAAAAAAAAACACAAAAACACATCTGCAACAGTATGGATTTGAACCCAAGATCTTCAGGCTAAAAGGCGTAAAGTGCATTAAGGCAACAATAAACTGCAAGTAATTGGATAGTAATACTGTGTATGCCTGCAGCATCATCTTGTTACAGTGCATATCCTGTGCGTTGGTGGTCATGTGTATCCACAGCATTCTGTCTAGTGTGCTTTCAATTATTTCCGACCGATGATCTTATAAAATCCGTTCTGATGGAACAGTTAATTGCAGGCAAGAGAAAGACAGCAATATAAGTGGGAAGATAATATCAAGAGATAGATAAATTGCATCCGCAGAGAGCATGTTGGAGATCCATTGCAGTCAATTTCATTGTGGAAACGTGGCCAAACAATTTAATATTTCAATATATAACATCTCACGCACTTTTTATTCCTTTTGCAAGTCTACTTCTTTATTCACCTTTAGAAGGGTGTTTGGCACATTGTGGTTTACAGCTAATATTGCATATTTCGGCCCAACACATCTTATTTCAATAATTTTTTTATTAGTAATAAACATTCACCTCATACTTGTTAAGCGGCAATAGATATCCCCCCCCCCCCCCCCCCCCCAAAGTTTTTTTTTCACAGAGCTGAAACACACACACAGGGACTTTTGCAGTTTATTTTATGCTTATTTGTTTGTGTATTAGTTTGATTTTCCTGAATCTGTATCCTTGTAGCAGTATGCTGCAGAAAGAGAAGCGCTGCTGGGTGGTTGGCACATTGTATTGTGGTTTACAGCCAGACTGTGATATCTTTTAGCCCAGCACATCCGATTTCAGCTTATCTTTAATTAGTCAACTTTCACGACATGCTTCTTAAGGGGCAGTGGGTATTTCCCCCTAAAAGATACAAGACTGGAACCCACACACAAAGGACTTTTGCATTTATTTTATGCTTATTTGTTTGTTTGTTTGATTTTTTCTGAATCTGTATCCATGTTGCAGAATGCTCCAGAAAGAGAAGCATTGCCTGGTTTTGAAAGAGGTGGAAGCAGTCGAGGGGTGAGTCTTTGGTGTTTTTTATATGTACAACTATGTAAAATTTGTTAATACTTGTTTCGTAGGGACTTAGTTATTAGTTGGGTTATCATTATTGCACTCCGGACATGTCCATAGGGAGTTTAGATCCTCCCCTCAGTATGAACCCTAGTGTCGTTTGCTAACAGTGCCAGCTCTTTTTTGACATTACAGATCCTCTGATGTGCCTGGTTTGCATCTAATTTTTTACTCTGCCCAAGTTTAACATTTGGGGAAATGATATTGATTCCCTGCCCACAAAGTCCTCCACCCTTCTCATTTCTCACAGGGCACAATATCAGCATGATCCTTACAGGGACCATATAGTTTTAGTTTAACTTTGTCTTGTCTCTCCTGTTTAAGTAAAAATCACGACACTTGCTAGATATCTGGAAATCACTGCATTAGTCTCTGCTAGCTAAGTGATAGGCACTAATTGGTGTTGTGTTGTTAAAAGTTGAATTAGCTTTTGAAACTATGATTTAGGTTCATTTGGAAAGCTATTTAATCTTTTCACCCGAGGTGCCGATAATTAGGCTTCACCGCTTTTTACAAATCCCCCTGAAATCAATATATCGGCCATACATTAGATTTTGCCTTTACCAATCACATAGCGGTCAGGTCACGGTATTTGTCATAATTTAAATCATTCGACCCAAAGGAATTTATGCTCTTTAATTCTCTGCATTATTGATTATTTCCCTTGATATATTTTCATGCACACAATTTAAAAAAGGCTTCTAAATATATTTTTTAAAATGTATTTGTGACCTGTATAAAATGTGTGTGTTTTTTTTTTTAAGGATTTGCTTTGGGGAATTCCCAGGTACACAACATTCCCCCCCCCCCCCCCCCCCCCCCCACAGGTTTCTGGGGGAGAAAAGGTTAAATATTTTGTGCACAGAATTGTCACAGTTCTATAAATATTTCTTTGCAATCTGCAGTAAGTCATTCTGAAGAAAATTCAGTCTGATAATAAGATAAAGCGAATATGTTAAGGTTTCATTGAAGCATATACATTTTCCTACAGCTGACAGTTTACTTAAATACTTGACAATATTTTCATCTTTAAAAGTAATTTGAAAAATAGTTTGGACTTAAGATTTTTATTCATGTTAATCATTATAACTGTTGTGTACAGTTGTGTGTGTTTGTTTAAAATCTTTGTGTGAACAAATAAACGTAATACTAGCAGTCGATTTTCTCACTTAAAGATTATGTTAGATGTAATACCATAAACAGGTTAATGTTTTCATGATTGCATGGCAAACTGTGACTCAGTACAGTTTTTAATTCTCATAAATTTTTGCGCACTCATGATTTTAAAGGTAATTTTAAAATATCAGTTAAATAAAACAAAGAAAAGTAAATATAATTTTGAGAGCATGTATCTTTCCCATGGCAAAATTTGAATGGGAATCACGAGCCATTTCTGGTCAAACAGCACAAAATAGAAGCATCAGAATGCTAAAATCCTGTGTGGGTTCCAGAACCTCATATTTTTTTATGGTAAAAAGAATAGAGGCATTCTCCTTAACAAGCAGTTTGTAAAGGTTTGCTGATATTGGATGTTTGAGATCAAAAAGTGCAGAAATCACAGCCTAGTTGTAAACTACAACACAATGTGCAAACCGCCCTATTAGGGAATAATGCTATGACAGAGTCATTAGTGTGAAGCCCAGAAAAAACAACTAACAGTGATGGCACTGTGTAGAATACAGGCACAGAGGAAATATGTTGTAAGTATAACTAGAAATTCCTTTTTTTCTGGGCACAAGAAAACCACATTTTCTGTGCAGGCTCAATGACTCCATTTTGAAGAACAAGGAATAGACACCCCCCTTCCGCCTTAATCTCAACCCCCCCCCCCCCCCCCCCCCCCCACAAGAATATTGTAAAAAGCTACTAACTAGGGGTGCTTCCTTTAAAGTTGCAGTGCCTGACAGGCAAGGAACTAACAGTCTGCATACTACTAAAGGTACATAATAGGATCTACAGTTAATTAATGTGTCTGGTGAAAGATATAGCAAGGAGAAACACTTAAAACACATGGAGAAGGGAGCTCGAGAGTGAATTTCAAAATATGGGGGAGTTTGAGGGGTGAGCTGCATACGATAGCAAAGGATACAATGTTAAAGACAGAGATCGTGATTTACCATGGCAAAATCACTTTTACAAAAACCAAACTGAAACATGTAATGAACTTGAAATGAGTTACCACAGTATTCCACTTTGAGTATCCTTTTTTATATATAAAAATTCATGTTTCCTCAGTAAATTTGCAATAAAGTTAACAATAATAAACTATTCCTTTATACATACTTTTGAAGACTGTATTGAGCTCACAGTAGAACACAAATAATCATAAATATTTGATCAATTTCTGTGTCTGCACTAACAGAGTATGTGTTTTAATGTTTACTTCCCTTTTTATACTAAATTTGAGTAAATATGTAAAAGTGCAGATGAGAGATGGCAACAAAACTAACCTGATGCTGATTTTAGACTTTACAGTGGAATGAAGTAGCCAGTTGAAACTAATATTAGACTTTATTTATGGGAATCAGTTATTTCACAGTGAAAACAGGACTTGCTTGGGGAACAATGCAAAGAAAATCTTCTAATTATATAAAAGCAAACTAGACAGTCCTCTTAGAGCAGTGGTTTTTAACCTTCCTAATACTGCGCCCCTTTAATACAGTTCCTCACACAGTGGTGACCCCCAACCATAAATTATTTTCATTGCTACTTCATAACTTCAGTGAATATGTGTTTTCGGGTGGTCTTAAGTGACCCCTGTGAAAGGGTTGTTGGACCCCCAAAGGGTTCACAACCCACAGGTTGTGAACTGCTGTCCTGGAGACATATGAAAACTGCAAACTGATGAAAGAAAATAGATGTAGACAGTCAGTGTCTTTCAGACATGATGTGGGAAGTAATGGACTAGAGAATTTGTTTAAAACTGGTAACATTTGTAGGGGAAAGTCCAAAAATTAAAACTTTTCACCCCTGCCATCTATTGAAACCAGGTTAGACCTCAGGCTCATCATCCTGTTTGTGATCCATGTCCCAGAAAGAGAGTGGCAAAGGAAATGATATAAATTCCAGAATGGCTAATGCATATTGATAGGGCGAGACAAGAACCTTGACTTGATCCATGATTCTGGTGACTAATTAGGGATTTAACAATCTAACTAGAATGTTTTTGTACTGGAACCAGCAGGGGCATAGGAATACAGGAAGACCATAAAAAGACCCGGAGAAGGGAGCTAGAGAGTAAAGTTAAAAAGATGGGGAGAGCTGCATGCAATTACTAAGGAAAGAACAACATGGCGTGAGTTGGTTGAGGGCCTATGCTCCATTGGGGGTTAGAAAGGCAGAAAAAGAATTAAAGATTTTCTGAAATTAGATGTCCTTGACTTAAATGCACAGATGTTGCATCCTTGCTATAAACCATAACACAATATGCCAGTCACCCTTGATGATTGTTGGTGTGCAGTTGGTTGTCCCTTGCCACTCAGGCAGATGCACTCCGACTTTGAAGGAAAAAAATGATGCTATAAAAACATCAATTATCAGAAATATTAAAATAGAGTATGTATTCCACTGGCATGCTTTGTCACAGCAGGGAAGTTGGAAGAGAAGAGAAGCCAAGGGAGACAAAGAGAGTAAATGTTAGAGTTATAACTCAGTATAGTTGAGCAGGATACTGTTAGTGAACATACAGTACAGTACAATTTGGTTCTTTGAACACATTCTTAACATAGGTACTGTTTTTTTAAAAGAAAACATATCCTTTACAGAAGCCAACTTATCACAAACATCAGACACAGACAGTCATCATTTTTTGGTCATGTTTTGAGAAGAAGGAAACTGGAACATGTGACCACCAGAAAATTTTGTGGAAAGAGACAGAGGAAGAAAGTGCAAGACAATTGTTGACAGCTATTTGTCATGGCATGGAGGGGTGTCAACACAGGAACTGATGCACACATGTGCAGATCACAGATTGTGGAGAGTCATTATTGCTTACGCCAGTCAGCAAGGCTCCTGATGATGATGATCTTTTTTTCCGCGCTCTGCAGAACCATCTCCAGCAATTTTTGGTTGTTTGGTTTTACTTGGTAATTTTACATTCACTAGTTTGTCATTGCTCTCTGAACGGGCAACTCTCAGTACCATTCTCAAAATCAATGCAAGGCAGTTTGATGCCAGATCACCTCGGAATTACAAAGTGTGCTGCCAGTACCTAAGCCACAGATGCCAGCGGTACATTTTATACAAGACAGACAAGGATGATTTAGTAGGTCAGGGCTATTCAACTAAGTTTACTCAGGGGCTAAGTGTTGAAAATGGGAATCGCCAGAGGCCCAAGCCCCAGCAAAGAAAGATTGTTAATACGATACAATTAGCAATAGTCTGCAGGCCACATGCTAGGCCTCTGCATGCCAAATCTGGCCCAGGGGTCGCCAGTTGAAAAGCCCATGATTTCCTTCAAAATAATAAAAAAAAATGTAAAGGTCCCTTTTTCATGCCTTTAGGGTGCCTTTAAGATGGGTGATGTGGTCAGCATCACACCGGCCCTCTTTGCTTCCTGGGACTGCACCCGGTACCCACTCAAGGCTGGGTCGACCTGGGAGTCAAGGTCTTTTTTGAAAAAAAGTCCGGCTCTGCCAGGGAACGAACCCACGACCTTCTGGTCCACACCCGAGCGTATGGTTTCCTTCACAGCCCACTTAAAGCTTCTCAGTCCCTTTCTAATTTCCCTTCTAACTTATTTTCATTCCCATAGTGTTGCCAGCATCGTGTACCTTCCTTTATGTAGTTGACTCCTGCCCCTTCTGCCAAGAACTAGATGGTAGGGCAGTCGTCATTGTAACATGTAGTAAACAATTTTTATAATATATATCCTGCTCTTTGACTTTATTTAAAATTAAGTTGGTTTTGGTCCCTTCATCTCATTCTACTGCCATACGTCTTCACAGTTTGTTTGAAAAAAAAAGGTGTTGATTGTAACATGTGTACGTTGTTTTGCCTTACACCTCCACACTGATGTGTTTCTTTGTTCAGAAAAGGTATGCAGAGCTCGTAAATGAGTCAGATGATGAGGTTTGTTCTCTTAAATGATGTTATTTCTATTGTGACCTACTATCGTCGTTGGGCAAAGACAGATTGTGCCGTTTTGTTGTTTATATAGTAGTAGTTGCACTTTTTCCCTTTATAGTGAAATCCCCGTGCATGTTAAATGTCTTTTGAAAGCAATGTTTGTGTCTCACAGTATGCTGATTTTGCAAGAGGCTGGCCATAAATCTTTATTCTGATTATGAGGGAGTGAGAAAAGAAATTCAAAGCTAGGATCATTCTAAGCTCCTCATACTTGCAATGAATTATTGGGTATTGTGAATTAATGATGGACTTCACTGCATTCAGGACATTCCCATAAGCGCTCTGTCCCCATCTTTATCAGCAAGCGCAGAGTTCCGTTTCATTTGGTACCAGTAGCAGCCTGATTGTAAATCCATCTTACCTTTTCCTTGAATGTTGAGCGTTGGCCAGATACCCTGATCATTTCTTGCTGCGCCAATATCCTCACACCGTGATGATCTGTAGTGCTTCTGCACTGTTCACTCACTCCCAAAGGACCCTTACAACATCTAGCTTGTCATTTATCAGTTCACCATCAAGTGGTGCAGAACCAGTCATTCTATCTGCCTGTTCATTTCCCAACACATTAGCATGACCTGGAGAAATATCCGAAGGAAACTAGCTACCTGGGAACTCTGAAGTGACACTTTTTTTTCTTGCAGTGAGCATGTGAAGCATGCATTTGTTCCTTCAGAATGTTCTCCCACTGTGCTGTAAAGTGCAACATGTGCTGTTAACCAGTAATGTATTATAACATTTGAGAAGTCACAGGCTAGATCTATGATGATCAAATAACTGTTGTTAATGGTAGAGAAATATAGAAATACACAGGGGAGGAAATTAGTGTTTCATCATTTGTACCCCTTGTAAGTTTTCCTAAATTGATGTAGATAGTTTAAATGTTGTCACTGAATTGTTGCAAATGTGCCCATTGGCTAACGTCTGGAAGACTATCTCCAGCAACAGAACAATGAATATTACTGAAATAGGCCTTGAAAATGGCAATTGCAGAGATAACTGATGTAGTGAAACTGAAAAGGCAGTAGAGTTTTACCCAACAGACTAAACATGAGAAAATTGTGCATCCTGGCTGTTGTGCCTGATGACACATGAACATAATAAAATCAGGGTAAAGTAGTGCCAAGGTTTATTTAAAATGTATTATTTGGCACACATTTTAACAACAAAGGTGGCAGTAAAAGATAGCTTGGTTCACTATTATGATCACCGTAAAAAATGTCTTACGTGCAGTAAAAAAAACAAAAAAAAAAACAGAGAAATCTACAGTATAAAAGGGGATGCTGCTTCATGACTGTTATTGGAAAGTATTATGTAGGTCTCCTTACAAAACTAAAGTCTATGGCCAGGAAGCAAGGGATGGTGCACACTCAAAATCTTGCTTTGCTTTTAAGGCCACAAGCCCTTTCACAAAGCACAGTTTGTGCAGCTACCAGCAAGTGAATTAGGAACTGAGATTCTTCCAGTCTATCCCTTTTTGCAGATTTGGGTCCATCAGGCTTTTCCTGTTCCCAGATCTGTCAAACAAAATAGGGAACAGTTTACTGGAAATCTTAACAGAGAAAGGAGGCCATGCTGGCATGTAGTAATTAGTTAAATTTTATAAACAGTATGTTGTGATCTCAGGATCTTTTCTAAGCCAGGTACAAATGACAGAAGTGTATCATTTCAAGTGGAGCTGTATTAGGAAATAAAGGGAAAGCAGTAAACACTAAACAGAATTTCCTATCTTTAGATTTCCTTCATAGTCAGGATAAAGACTGATGGTTAGCCTTTGTAATCATTGTATTTGACACTGACGAGATACTTGTATTAATTATGTTTAACACTGACAGATAGCACTTTTTATTCATTTGTTTGACTTTGAAAGGACAGATAGCACTTTTTATTCATTTGTTTCAGACTTTGAAAGCTTACTTTTATTCATTTCATTTGGCACCGATAAATAGCATACACAATGAGAACTTATACTTTCATTCTTTTGATTTGTCGCTGGCAACATACTTGATTAGAATATACACTGAGAAGGTCAGAGTTGTCCAGAGAAGAGAGCAGACTGAAAACAGAGAAGCCTTCCAAACACTCACCCAAAATGATTTGACCACTTTTCCCTCAGCCAATCTCAGTATGAGGTATAGCAGAATAAATAAGCGCATGTGAATGCTTTAAATGTCTTCACCAGCTGTTCACATGTGGATTAAATTAACAAGTTTGTTAGCATGTTCAGCATCACTTCTCTATGTATGACCAGCAGAGAAAGATACCAACGTCTTAACACTGAATGCTAAACTAAAAACTGTACAGAACTAATAACAAAGGACTTTAAACGGGGATTTAATTTATTACGAGACCTATCTGATGTTAGAAAACACAGCAGATGTGATAACACTATGGAGTAGATGAGATACTACAAATTGTTAGAATGTGTTAAGAAAAGTAAATAATGTTCTTTATTGTGGGGGGTGAAAGGGGGGTGTTTGCTTTTCTGAAATGTAGATGTTATAGACAATGCTTTAAATGTATTTGAACTTAGTTTTGTAGATTTTATATTGTGCAGGAATGGGAGCAACTATAAAGGTTTTTCATATTGACCAAAAGTACGTTCATGCTGCGTTTGCATGTATGGGTTTTTAAAAAAAAATGTGCAGATATTATGTCATATAACTGTAAGCAAGTCTTTATAATTACAGTAGAGGAGGTTCCCAGAATAAAAGTAGTTTTTGAGAGGTGTTTCATGGAAAAATAGAAAAACAGATAAGGCAGCCCTCTTCAGTACAGATAAAAACTGTAAATAGATTAGAGAAGTTAAATGTGTTTTTTTTTTCTGGACATGTTATGAGAAAGAGGACTCGCGAACTTGGTGACAGCTGACAAAATGTATGAAAAAAGGGCAAGGTGAAGTGAAGGCGAAAATATAAATACTTTGATGGCTTGACAGTAAGGATGGGAGCGAGACCAGAACATTGACCTGATCTGTGATTCTAGGATTGCATGAGACAGTGAAACATGACAGCCTACGCTGGTCAGCATGGCACATGATAATGATGGTGATGCACAGTAGAAAATAGTAATGTCCATTCGAAATGTCATGCCCAACTTTAAGAATCTGCAGTTCAGTGTAAATTGTTGAAATTTGGCATGCACCAGATTAATTATCATGTTCTTGTAAGAATTTTTTCTCATATAAACAGACATCTAGTTTTAATTTTGCCTTATTTGCGGTATGTGACAAAACAAGCACAGAATCAAAGCAAAAAGTCAGCCTGCTTACAGTTAAAAGTAAAGGGAACTTTCTAAAACGTCAGATTGCATGCATTTCAACGGTCTCTTACTCTCAGGTAGTCATCTCCTGCATTAGTCTCCCGTCAGTTTTGGATTTTTTATTCTGTGATGGGATAGGCTGTCAAAATAATCGCCACGCATCACTGCACGTGTGGAATCATTTCCAAAGTCTCCAGGCATCTGTTAATCACTGTTTATTTCATTTTTAAGGGTGCACAAATTATTAGTCAAAGATCAAAGAAATTTGCTGCTTTAAGAAAACAGAAGCACCTGTGCAATAGTAAATTATTAAATTTTAGGTCATGGGTAATCTAAGCCGCATAGAACAGTCTGTGTTGATCCATACAGGAGTTTTTGAGATATTTATTAAAGTCTGAGGGCATGCCTTTTGAAACACACTATAAAAATAATCTACTATGTCAGTGTTTCCCAAACTTTTATTGGTTGCAGTGCCTTTTTTCAAATAAAATTATTCTACGGTGCCCTAACCTAAGTAAAAGTATGACTATTCGTGTCTTGTTTAAATTAATTATGAAGCTTTTAAAATATTTCGTGCCGCTCCTATGAAAAGGATGCGGCTCCCTAGGGTGCCGCGGCGCACAGTTTGGGAGTCACTGTACTATGTATATCACGAGGATGGTTTTTGTGAGACAGGCTTTATCATTCCTTAGAAAGCCTTTGTGGCAGAATCCAACCAACCAGGATCAAGTCTAGAAAGCCCTGTCCTGAACTGTTTGAGAACCTTTATTGGTGAATAAATGATGGTAGAAAAGAAGTGAATAAATCTCATCTCATCTTGGTCCTCTTGTACCTTGTGGTGTTCAAGTAAAGCAACTACAGAGTGCTAGTTTGTGTTCTCCTTATATTGTGGTTCTTAGGGACTCTATTATTCCCTCTGTCTGTTGTTTACATGGTCAGCTTCTCTGTTGATTTCTATTTGGTTTGTATATCTTTTGTATGTTGTGATATGCTGTTTGTTTGCAGCTGAGTTAAATGATCAGTCCACTGCACTTGTTGTTTTCTAATGAAATGTAACACTGCTGCTACCCCCACTTTCTTTCAGATTTCATAATTTCTAAACTTCTCTTCTCTTCTCTTCTCTTCTCTTCTCTTCTCTTCTCTTCTCTTCTCTTCTCTTCTCTTCTCTTCTCTTCTCTTCTCTTCTCTTCTCTTCTCTTCTCTTCTCTTCTCTTCTCTTCTCTTCTCTTCTCTTCTCTTCTCTTTTCTTCTCTTCTCTTCTCAGGAATCCCATTTCACTTGTATTTTGTCTTTATTCTTTTAATTCATTACCCAAGTCTTGCATTGGTATCATAGTACTGGTAAAAAAATTGTGTTATAAGGTGCTTTTTTGTGGGAGGGAGGGAGAAATCCATTAATATATGTATTAGTTTTTAAGAGTTGATATTGTTTGTCCAATAAATGAGTTTGCTTTCTTATATCTGTTCTTGATTTTGTCTTCACATTTGCCTGCTAATGCAGTTATGTTGTTTAAGTGCTTGAAGTTCTACATTTGTTTAAGTGCTTGAAGTTCTACATTTGCTTCAGAGGGTATTGTGTGCGTGGATAAATGAATGAATGCATTTCTGGATTGACTTTTTGGTGACTGTTCGAATACAATACCCTTTTGTTTTCATTATATTGTTGTGAAAAAAAATTACAGGAAGTGATAAGGCAACACTGACAGAGCAGATACCAGTACCTGTACCTAGTGCCTTGACCTTTTTCCTTATTGTTTTATAGTTACAATTACTTTGCAGAACTGTTTGAGGATATTTGATGTTTTCAAATATTTGCTGCATAATTTTTCACTCCCTCCTCTGAGTTATCATGTTCACTTATAGTAAATAGCAAAATTAACATAAATCAGTTTTTTAAATTTACACAGAGGATGAAACTTTACTTACTCAATCCAATCGCTGTTCTTCTACCTAGGGGGTAGAGGTTTGCCAGAGAGATCACCAGACTTCTCTATCAGCAGTTTTATTTGTAGCACTATTCTGAGGATAAAAAAAATAAATGAAAACTAGTAAAAATTACCAGCCTTCTATCTATAAAATATCAGTTGTATTCTATATCAGATGCTCGTCTGCTGGCTTTAAGGCTCCCAAGTTGACACAGCGTAAAACTTCCTGAAAGCAGTTGTGGCTAATGTGATGATCACATCACATCACCCGTTGAATGCCCATTGGGCTATAATATATGGGTCCAGCATCATTTTATATGCCCAATACACTACTGGCATTAAAACCAAACAAATTCTTTATTTTACTTAAATTCTATATCTGAGTAAATGTAGCTACCCATACATTCAGTTCTGTAAAAGCCTTTGAATAGAAATATCTTTGAATGTAAAAGATGTTCACCAGCCCATGTATATGCCATTAGATTCCTCATTATCATGTGGAGAGTAACTCGACAGTAACTTCCAATTCCAAATGGTTTTAAAGTAGAAACCCAGTTTTTGCAACAATCAGAGTGATAAGGGCAGCAGTGTATGACTTTCAGAGATACAGTGCATTCTGCGCTGCATTTAAAATATCTTGTCAGATTTCTGATGCATGCCTAGACCAAACAGGAAATGAATAATAACACACTATGTGTTACGTTGATACCCATAGACATAAGCTTAGCATTCATGGTACATTGCTCAGGACAGAAGGAGTTTAGTAAAAGTGTGTTTATAGGTATAATAATTGGTTTCATGGCACTTGGTTTTACCAAAGTCATTCAGTCTCTCTGAGTGTGGCTTGTCACCCAGTGAGAGAGTTCTACGTGGCATAAAACTCAGGTGTGAACAATAATGTATGTTAGCCGTGTTAATGAGATTACAGAGGCATGACTACTGTACAGCTTTTATGAAATGCAGCATCACTTAACTCACGCATTGTGTTAAATGTGTTCTTTTTCCCTCTGTTCCAGACATCAAGCCATTTGTCTTACCATGTTTTTGCTTTTTGTCAGAATCTGGCTATCCCAGTGGCAACACCCATTCTAGCAACACATGCAGTGTCTACAAGTTTGTTTCTATGGAATTTTTAAACTCTTCAAATACCAAATAGTACACCACCTGAAATTCAATATTAACCATGTGCCACAGTCAGCGTCTTATGAATATTTGCAAATCTTACATTTAGTCAGGGCATACTAAAACATTTCAACAGTACACCTGTCTCTTACATGTTGCTATTTTTTTTACTACTAGGAATGTGGTACACCTATCAATTTTATCGATGTCATTATTGTCTTAACCAGGCATCGGTTGCGCTCTCATGGGACTAAAAAAGATTTTTTAAAATTTTTATTTTAGGGCGAACCCCTCTGCGCCTGGAAAAGTTATTGTTTTGTGGGTAATGAAACATCTTCATATATGCTGTACGTGTTTTCATTTGTCTTGTCTTTGTAAGACTGTATTCTTGTGCACCGAAAAGGTAGATTAGGACACAGGATTGAAATTAAGATAAAGAGTTTTGAGATTTGTGTTTATGTTACAGCCTCCGCTACCACCTGGGGGCTACCCTGCTGCGGGACCGCCTCCTGTCAGAAGTGGCCCTGTTAGTGCTGGTGCTCTGACTACAGATCAAGTGGCCAAGTTGAGGCGGGAGCTGGAGGTGGTGCAAGGCAACATCCATGTGATGAGTGATATGCTGACCGAGCTGAGCCCTGCCACTGTTGATCCCTCGGATTTAGAACTGTTGCAGGTAAGTGACACTTTATGTGGTAATGGGATTATTTGTTATGTAGCAGTGAAATTATTTGGTATGTAGTAGTGGCATTATTTGTTTTGTACTAGTGGTATTGTTTGTTGTGTAGTTATGGGATTATTTGGTTTGTAGAAGTGGAATTTTTTGTTATGTAGTAGTGGTATTATTTGGTATGCAGCAAGGGATAATTTTTAAATACTTCTTCTACTGGACACGGAGTTGGAGTCTGTTGACAGTGAAATGCCAGACACCTGTAGAGGAAACATTACCAGCTTAACAACCTAGACCTCATCCAAGCCAATCCATTTGTACTGTGTTGGTCTCAGAATCGTCACTGGAAGTATGAGAAGCACACTAGTCAGTGAGCTGGAGGCAACTTCTGGCCCCCAAGAGCTTGAGTCGTCAAAGGGAAGAACAAGTTCTTAATCTTACAGAAAGATTTAAACATATGAAGAACAACCCACTGCACAGAATAACAAACAACTAAAAACCAACTGAAAAGACAAAGCTTTCAACAGCTATCAGAATTGTACTACGAAAAAATAGTGACATCCTTTCTAAAGACCCCTCAACGTGGGAATTGATCCAAGCATGCAGGAAATACCTACAGCCTAACTATTATACAGTCACAACAATTCCAGGCATAGACAGAACGGCTGAAATATCTGACCTAGTACTGCATGCAAAGACCCTTGACCATGTCTACAACTCTTACCCAAAACCTGAATGGACACAGGTGTACACCAATGGATCATTGGTGCAAGCAATGAAAAATGGACTAGCTGGATTGGTTATCATGCTGCAAGATGGGACCACAGTAGAAACGTAATGCACCTCCAGAAGACTCTTAACAAACTTCAGAGCAAAAAGCAGTTATTGATGCAGCCAAAGTGCTTGAGGAAACCAAATTAAAAACAGCAAAATTGTTTTCCTTTGTGACTGCATGTCAGGCCTCCAGGCAACTCAGAGGGATCCACAATACAACCTGGAGAAAGAACTGACCCGCCAGCTAAACAAACTCCGAAAATAAATCGTTTTTCATTGGATCCCACAGTTCACTGCGGCATACCATGTAATGAGTTAGCAGACGGATTTGCAAACAATATAACACAGGAGAAAAAACACACCCAATCAGTGTCATTACCAGAAATCAAGCAGCTCGTCAAGGGAAAATACAAGCAATTGTGGAGAGAACAAACCAACAATAAACATCCACAAGACCCCATAAGCAGACTCAACAGAAAGCGACATAAAACAATTTTCCATCTTCGAACAGGACACTGCTCAGCTACCACATGCATGAAATAAAGACTGTACCGTCCCCACAGTGTGCCTGTCAGACAGGACCACAAACACCTGAGCACATTCTGCAGACCTGCCCACTCTACCTGCGCCTTTGAAGAGACACCTGGCCTCAAGAACAAAGTGTGAAGAGCAAGCTATGGGGAAACATGAAGGACCTGCTGCTGAAATGTGAGTTCATAGAAGCAACCCATGTGATGGACTGATTGATCTGCACATACAAAACTGAATGCAAAGAAGAATGAGTTAGTTGTATCACATCCCATGTGGGTTTTGGAGCCCCATGGGGGGGGGGGGGGGGGGGGGGGGGGGGAACCCCATTGACTCCCAACAAGCATGTTGTTAAAGGCAACTTACTAGAAAAATAGGATGTATTGGGCAAAGGTACTGATTTCGCAGCCAAACTGTAAGATGCATTTTTTATCAGGTGAACCAAATGATTTTTTTACAGCTTATTTTAGGTCATAATTTGCCTTTTTTTATTTAGTAGTGTTAAAGGGTCATAGAATGAACCAATCAGATTTTTTTTACTCAAGACCACAGGAAATGTATTCCATGTAATTCTTCACCCTGTTCAAATATTGATTATTCCCTTTATTCATTTCTAAAAAAATTTTAAATTGTTGTTTAATGTATTAGTTGCTTTTTTAAAATGTTTGTCTAAAGAATGGAATTGTCTTTTTCTGATGCAGTCAGTCAGCCTCTTTGGGGGCTAATTTTTTAAGAAAACATCTTCGTTAATATTTCTGCAGCTTCCACATAAATTTCTGATTAATTGGCTGACTGTCTACGACTTGTTTCCTTACTTTGGGATTACTCTGTGTAGCTTATCAGTTATCTCTTTCTCACCTCAAAGGTATAACTATTCTAATGGCAAGTTTATTATTTACAGGAACTTAACAGAACATGTCGGCAGATGCAGTCTCGTATTGTAGAACTCCTGAATGAAATTGCTGCAGAAGAGGTTACAAGTATGTGTCTTTCTTTTCTGTAGATGATTCAGACAGTTAAAAGAACTTTAGTTGGCCAACCATTCTGTTAAAATCTTTCATTCCCAGAAGGTTTTATAACAAGTGTCCAAGGAATGAATAATTACTATGAACAGTCTTTAGTAAATCACTTTTAAAGATGCTAAATGCACATTGGAAGTGGCCACAGGAAAAGCCAGATTTTTTTATTATGCTGTGACCAGTGTAAAAAAGTAAGAGAACACATGTGATGGATGACATTCACAGGGATGATTTCATCACATTTGCTGCATTTCTTGGCACTGAAAGACTTATGTGATATATTTTAGAAAGTCTGTGGATACATAGTTTTATTGAAGATTAATGAATGGACAGACAGCAGTGCAGTGAATGTCTTACAAGAAGCTAACTTACATTAAGAACTGGTTGTCCCATTAAAAAAATGGCAATCCATATTCTTTAGGTATGTCTTGAGAAAGGGGGAACTGGAATATTTCGCCATAACAGAAACATGCCAGACGTGGGCGAAAAGTAATAAATCAAGATGATCTTGAAAAATACGGAACGGCAAGAACGATAGCCACCGGTGTTGTCAGAAGCGCCAGAGAAACATCATAGCAGAAATACAGCAAAATGATGAATGCTGACTACAAAAGTGCTACAAATAACTGTTATAAGCAAATTAAAGTTAATGATAGGTAGGAACAACAAGTATGACACAACAGAAATTAAAAAGTACCCTTAAATGAACCACAAAGGTCCTAGAGAGATGGCATCAAGATTTCAGCGATCTTCTTAACTTACAATCAGAGGAACAATCTCGAACACAAGAAACAACAGCTACATAAACAAAATTTAGAACTGAGCATAACACTCGCAAAAATAAGAAAAGCTGTTAAAAGGGCACCTTCTAACAAAGCACCAGGCCCTGATGATATACCTACTGAACTACAGAAGAGGTGGGCGTAAAATGGATGCACAGACTGTTCAACCTAGTCTAGACAACACAAGAGACACCGGAGGACTGGAGAAACATCATAATAGTACCTATCTGGAAGAAGAAAGGCAGAAAAAGAGACTGAGAAGTATAGAGGAGTTTTGTTATTGAGCCACACCGGAAACATATTTTGTAAGATCATTAAAAAAAAAGGTTAGTCCTATCACCGAACCACAGCTTAGTGAAGGAAAAATGGGATTTTGGAAGAACAGAAGTTGTACTGATGCAGTACTTACACTTAGACAATTAGTGGAAAGGACTGTAGAATTTGATAAAGAATTACACGTTGCATTCGTAGATCAAGAGAAAGCTTTTGATCAAGTTAATAGGAATAAATTATGGAAAGTACTACAGTATTATGGAGTAAACGAACATCTTATTAAATTGTGTAAGAGTTTGTACATGAACACAGTCAGTGCACAGTTAGAATAAATACAGGAATGTTACAAAGTTCTACATAAGATCTAGAGTGAGACAAGGGTGCGTTCTATCACTACTACTGTTAATCATATACATCAACCAAATTTGCAAATCAGTTAACATCAACGATGGGGACAACATCGGAGAATTACTAAATGAATTGCTTTTCGCCGATGACCAGGCAATCATAGCACAGACGGCATGACATCTACAAGAACATATTATATTAATAGACTCCACTCAGAATGCGACAACTACGATATGAAGATCAACGTAGACAAAACAGAAGTGATGACATTCTCCTAAAAAGGAAGAACCACCAATATCAAAATTGATGAACACCAGTTAAAGCAGGCTAAGGATTTTTTATATCTGGGAAGCATTTCTTCAGAAGACGGAAGAATGAATAAAGAAATCCAACAAAGATGCAATAAAGCCAATCAAGTTTTAGGCCAAATGGCACCAATTTTGAAATACAAGCATGTGAATAAGGACACTAAAAGAACACTGTTTAACACAAAATTCTTACCAATGCTTTGCTATCAATGTCAAACATGGACACTGTCTACAGAAGACAGAAGGAAAATAGTCATGACAGAAGAAATGTTTACGTACTATGCTAGGTGTAACAAGGAAAGATCGACTTAGGAACGATGATATCAGAAGAAGAATTGGTACATAACCAATACTGAACTTTATAGGTAGTCAACAAATCAAATGTTTTGGTTTGGCCATGTAACAGGATTGGCAACAGACAGGGCACCGCAGTGAGCAATGTTATACAGATACTGTGGTAACAGACCCAGAGGTCTACCACGCAGAATATGGACCGCAGAAACACTGAGACACTGAAAAGTACTATATACGAAGTGAACAGAAGGGCCCGATCTAGAGATCTTTTCCACCCCTGATGCCGCGAGGCATTCCAGGAATAGAGAAAAGAAGGAAAAAGAAGTAGAACAGGAACATTGGAGTGAAAGAGGGGCATTGGAAGACCTGGAGAGGCGAGGGCAGACAGTTTGGTATATGTCAGGAAGGAGCATGTGATAACAAATAACTGGCAGCAAATTTGACAAAAGATTGGACAGATATGATGATCAGTGCCATATTCAATGTCTTTACATGTAAAGGAACTTTTTTATGCTAGTGGTGCTTGTCTCATAGAACAATTGGCACTCACTGGGTGTGATGTGGTCAACATCTCGGTTGCCGTTACTTGTGAGGACTGTACCTGGTACCCGTTTCGATTTTGTCGACCTGGGAACCAGAATGATTTTTATTAAAAAATATGACTTGATGTGGATTCAAATCCAAGGCTTTTGGGCTGGAAGGTGAGTATCTAGTTGCTACACCACCACGGTTCTGGAAATGTTATTAATAAAATATTTGAATTGTTTTAACTTCTTATAAACAATTTAAACATCATTTAAAGCCTGTAGTAAAATACTTGCAAGCTATAGTAAACATTTGTGTGCAAACTGTTGGTAGCTCACCCTCTGCAGATGCCCTCCAATTTAAAAGGAAACACCCGTAATTAGTTACTTTTTATGACATGCTTGTTAGGGGTGCAGTGGGTCTTTTTCCTCCCCAAAATGGGGTCCCCAAAACCACACAGGACAGATGAGCAGTGTTAGGAGTCATATTCTGCAGGGTACCTACTACATGATGACAGTGATAAGAATGATATATATAACTATATATACAGTCGTAACAAATTTCAGCCTGTTTTTTTTTTTTACAACAGATGATTTACTTCGAGTCAACGATGATCTGAATAATGTGTTCCTGCGCTATGAACGTTTTGAACGCTATCGAACTGGCCAGGCAGGCCAAGTGAGAACACCAGTCCCTGAGGCCACACCATTAGATACTCTTCCGCCTTCTTATGACCAGGTAAATGGTGCATGCTGTCAACAGTATTTTTAAAATTTTGGCTGAGAATGACCAAACTGGCTACTGATTGAATTCTGTTTACACTGATGGTGTAATCAACATTTTCCGTGTATCATTTCTTTTGAGTTTCTAATTGAATTATTTTAAGGATATATGTGTATGAGACAAGGAAAAGTTAAAAGACATCCCATTAACACATTAAGCATGTGTTATTAGTCCCATAGTTTTATAGCTCAATTAGCACCAGACGTGTAAATGAGTTTTCTGCATTATATTCTTAATTCAACATTCAACAGTATGGATTTTAGGATATGTTTCTTCTTCTTCTTCAGCATTCTGAGCCCTTCAGGTTCATTGCTGCGGATATCACCCGCCTCCACTCATCTCTCTGGTTGGCCTTCTCTTTCCAGTTGGTGACACCATATGTTTATAGGTCTGTCTGGCCATTATCTCTCCACCCTCTTCTTGGTCAGCCTTGTAGTCTACGACCATTCCGCTCCCTTGTGTATACATTTTTTACTTCTCTGTCATCTGACAATCTCTCAATATGTCTTAGTCATTTCAGTCTATTAGCTCTCATGATGCCAGTGATAGATGGTGATTGAAACAGATTATACTTTTCGTTGTTGCTTCTCACTCACCATTCCCCCATGTTTGCCTTTTTGATGGGTCAAACAATTCATTATAAGATTCTGATAAAACAAATTTTTCATTCCAAATAAAACGACCGGTCTTATCAACATTTTATATATTTTGATCTTGGTATTGCGAGATAGAGACTGTAACCTTAAATAGAAGATGTTGAATAGCACAGTATACTTATTTCCAGATTGTATTCTAGGTTCTTTTTCTTCTCTATGAGTTGAGTCAACAATTGACATCACAACACTCAGGGCATTCCCATGCATGCTCTGCCCTTATCTTCAGCAGCCAGCGCAGAGTTCCAATACTGATGGTACCGGTCACAGTCTGGTTATATGTCCGACTTGCCTTTCATCTGAGTGTAGTGAGCTGGCCAGACCCTCTGGTTCCACCAAGGTGCCTCATTCTTTCCAAGCCATAATAATCTTCTTTCTCTACTGATTCCGTTGCTTGCTCCCAAAGGACCATGACCACATCTGCCTTGTTATGCATCAATTTACCACCCATTGCTGCATATCCAGCCAGTCTGTCTGCCTGTTCATTACCCACCATGCCCGCATGGCCTGGAGAAAATATCCAAAGTATGCTCACTACCTGTGACCTTTCCACTGAAGCTTGCCACTCTGTTTGAAGCATCCCTGTCATCATCTTTCTCAGCACGCTTTCAGAGTCTGTTACAATTACGGCATTTATTTTTTATTTGGGGATATACCTTTCATTTGAAAAAGAAAGACATATTAGAGGTGATGCTAGGCATATTTTCTTGGGCTGAATCATACATGTTACCTGAAAATTGAATGAACTCCTGCATAACTAACCATTACAAGAATAACAGCTAACAGAAAGAAGGCAATAGGGGTGAGATGATTAGATCTAAGCCAGCCCATTAAAGAACAGTAATGTTTAGCAAAACATTAATTATTGTATTTTGTAGTTACCAGCCGCAGCAAATCCAAAGGTTGGAAATTTGATAGACCTCAGTGATGACCCAATCCCCCCTGCTCAGAATATGACCACACAGATGGCTGCATTATGTAAGTATATGTTCAGGTTATGTTATATGTTTAAAACAAAATAATTGCAAATCGGTTGAGAGCTTAGCATCTGAGAAAACGCACATGAAATACGTATGGTGGCAACAACGGTCCTGAAATCTCATGCTCTAATTGTTGAAGACGTTTCTTATTGCTGAAGGATGTTGCTGGTCACACTTTGCATTGCCATTTGATATGATTCCCATGCCTCTCCATAAAAAAAAGTTAAGTAAATGACCCTTTTCCGTGCCTTTAGGCGTAGAGTGCATATATGGCTAGGCCTATATTTTTATAGACCAAACAGCACAAGATGGGTAATGTGGTTAGCATCATGCCGGCCGCCTATACTTTCTGGGTCTGCATCCAGAACCCACTTAAGAAGTCTCTCCGTAGCACCAAATACAACACTGTTACCTAGAAAGACAGAAGGATGCTAAAAACATGTAATATGATTAAGAGCACTGGATTGTTATAACTGGGTTTAACCTGACAAAGTTTAAATGGGTGACAAGGAAAGATTATGGGAAGAAAAGGTGGCAGATGTGATATATCTGTTAAAAATACACCTTGTGTCCAGTGCGCAAGTGGCAAAAAAGGATCAATTACTTGGAGAAAAAAAAATTACAACTAAAGTAAAGTATGTGAAACAATTTATCATCAGTAGGCCTACAATTTATCTTTCTCTTATCCTATCATGGATTATGGACCAGCATGGGTAATTCACAAAACATTTGTCCGAACCACCACATACTTGTATTGTTTTTAATAAGGGCTTTGAAAACATTTCCATGTCTGCTATCCCCATACTGAAAAGAACAGCCCTTAAGAGTTCTTGACTGAGTAAAAACATCATCAACGAACAAATGTTTGAAAATGGAAGTTGACTGGTTACCATCTGGTGAAAACTAGCAGCATCTTCTACTTCATTTGTAGCCTTTTTCATGGTTCTCCTCCCCCCCCCCCCCAAGCCGTCCCCCATTTTCCCCCATATAGATAATCTTCTGAAGACTGGTAAGATACTGGAACATTTGTGTCTTCTCTTTCTTCTTGTTCTTCTTCAGCATTCAGAGCCCTAGAGGTTCATTGTAGCAGATATCACCCACCTCCATCCTCTCTATGACTGGCATTCTGTTTCTAACTGTGACTCCACGTATTTGTAGGTCCAGTGTATAATATCTCTCCACAGAGTTGTGAGACTTATAAATACTTTGCATATATTTTCACACTTTATTATTATAATTTTTTGTGTATTTACCACACCTGAAAGCTTATTCAGGTTTGAGTGAGGCACTTTAGAACACATTTAATGCAGCTTTTTAGATGAGAGTCTAACGAACAGACCAATCATAGACCTTTAGTTTATATATGTGAGTGGACAACATAGAATTAGATTACTTAACTGGAAAGGCTAACCCAGTCAACAGTTGCCTGCAGAAATTGGATGTGTCGGCTGAAATATCGCAGCCATTTAAACAGGCACAAAGCATTTACGTCTTTGGATGAACTTTGGAAGATAACCTAAGAGTGAAAGTCAAGTACACACAGCAACTTGCTGTTTTATTTTTTTTTTTACAGACTCTAGTTCTTCTTGTTTGTCATTTGTATTTTTTACAAAGAGGACCTTGAGATAGTAGAAGTGAGAGCAGCTTGTTCAGAGAACTATCAAACTGAATTGTTGAAGTAAATGGAAATCAAGAATTATTCTTCATGAACCTGTGCTACTAGTGCCAGCTATGGTCACTCACAACAGATCAATATCATGGCACACGGGCGTAATCCATAAGTGCTCCGTTCTTTTTCTAACTCAAGTCCGAGTCCAAAGAAGCTCAGCACACTGCATAGGCTGTGTAGCACCGTCGAGGATCCTGAAATAATACTTTGGGTAGATTTTTAACTTAACTACACATATTTCCTGGGCAGCGCCATTAGGCTACTCATTTCGATTTCCAACTGCCAAGAGATGTTTTTAGGTGCACAACAATGCTCCCCAGAGACCAGGGGGAATTACTAGAAGTCCAAGTCCTTGTGAAAAAATCCCAGGCCTTACCGGAGATTATCCAGAACCTCTCATGCTTCGAGACCATGCAGGCCCCTCACAACAACTCAGAAATAGAAATTATAAATGAGTTGTCTGAGAAAAGCTGCAGGAGTGACCAGAAGAGATCAAATCTGTAATGTTTTCATCAGAGAACAAAAAATCAGCATAGAACTAATTCTTAAGCATTTAAACTACACAAAACAAAATGGTATCCCCACTTGAAGAGAACATCTTTTAAATCAGCACCATTCAAGTCATTTATTTACCAAGCCATAAGGTGGACATAAACTCATAGGTAGACACAGAACAACGTGGAAAGATGACACTGAGAAACAGAGCAGTTTCAAGTGTCTGTGGTTGAGGCGACCAGAAGAGCTGGAACCAGAACCCTGTAACTCAATCATTACCTAAAGTAGTAAAGAGAAAATGAAGAAGAAAGAGAAGACAGCAGTGATGAATATCATTTGAACAAAGAAGATACTAAAAAAATGTTTACATTTTATTGCCGGCATATTTTGCAGTATCTCGTCAGGTGCATACTGCAGTAGGTGCATACTACAGTAACAATTGTATACAATCACAGTAACAGTTGTATACAATCACAGTAACAGTTGTATACAATCACAGAAACAGTTGTATACAATCAAACAAATAAATTAATCCTTCTGACGTACAAAATCGGCTGCACTCAAAAGTTTTTACTGCCTGTTTTTATTGTTTGTCTTTGTTGTTGTTGTTCTTCTGCTTTGCGCTCTCTAGCTGTAGACTCCGATGGACTTTTTTCCTGTTCCGGGACGGCTTATTGCTTACACATCCATTTTGCAAAACCGGCTTATTTGTACATATACTGTTAGTTCATGGCCTCTCAGATGTGAGCTCTCAAGAGCGGAAGAAAACAAAATTGCATCTACTTTGGCCAGAATGTTTGGAAACCTGTTCTAAGAATGATCAAAAAGTGTGGATAGGTCTTGACCACTGTGAGCCCTTCTCATATTGCACCAGCACATGTGGTTCATTCAGCACCTCGACCTCCTGTATTCTCTGTTCAAATTGAAAACATGGAAATATTGCTTTGATGATGATCGTTATCAGTATTATGCTTGTGGTTATCTTTTTGTCAACAGCACTAGGAAGAAACTCAACAGTGAACACGTCACCAACTCCACAGCAACCAGAAGGATTTTCGGATGACTTTGATATGTTTGCTCAGTCAAGGCAGTCCTTTGATCAACACAGACAGGCTTTAGGGTATGTATCATCTCACTGAGTTATATATTGTCAGTGTTTGGTGTTATTTGTCTTCTTCAGCATCCTTTGGATATTTTCCCCAGGTGATGCCGGTGTGTTAGGAAATGAGCAGGAGATAGACTGGCTGGCTCTGCACCACTTGGTGGTGAATTGATGTATGACAAGTTCGATATTGTAAGAGCCTTTGGAAATGAGTGAACAGTGCGGAGGCGCAGATAGATCATAACAGTCTAAAAAGAATGGCACTGCGAGTAGTTAACAGGGGGTCCGGCTGACGCTCAAGACTCGGGGGAAGGATGAGACGGATATACAATCAGACAGTTACTGGTACCAATGCAATTGGAACTGTTCGCCTGCTGCTGAAGACAGGGACTGAGCATTTATGGGAGTGTCCCAAGTGCTGTGTTGATTCCTAATTCAACATTCGTCTTCATTAATCATTCTGTTAGAAAATACATCAACATGCACGTAACCTTGATGGAAGTATAAAAGTGAAAAAGTAAAGTGTGGTGGGGGGGGGGGGGAATGCCTACATTGCCTGCTTTAACTGGCCACTGAGTCCTGGCCCCATATTATGTTATCACGATTGACAACACCGCTTATTGGGCATTCCCAATGTGTGCTCAGTCCCCCAGTGCAGCAGCCACCCAAGGTACCTCTACTGACTGTTCCTTTAAGAAGTTGGTTATAATGTCTTCTATTTTGACCTTGAAGACGGCACCAACCTGCTTCACTCAGAGTTCATGCCATCATGTAAACTTAAGAGATTCATATCTATCTGCCAGGCTTGTCCATATATAGCAGTAATGATTTTTGCTCTGTCTATGCATCTTCCCGCATGCAGTGGTGCAATACTTGCCAGCTGGTCTGCTAGTTCATTAACTTGTACTACACGCCCATGTATGTACTCATATATCCATGTGAGGGAAGTTAAGTCTGACCTCCAGATGCTGTCTACCCTTTTAGAGCTTGTTGTGATTTTCTGAAGCATTTTAATGGAGTCTGATAAGATCATATCTTGTGGCTGCCTGTTCTGCTGCCCTAGCAAATGCTCTGGAAGCGGCAGTTGTCTCTGTTGTTAGGATCCATATTATAAGACTGAGTGAATCCCAAAATCTGTACTGAGGAGAAAAAACACCAGCCATAACTGGGAATGAAACTATGGAACAGAGTTTAGTAGGTCAGTGCACTCATGACTAATCACATTTTTCCATAGTCCTGCATGATTAGAAAATCTACCTTATCTAAGAGTTAATCCAGGATTGCTATACTAGTAAAGTAAGTAAGTAGAAGGGCATAAAGGATACTCAGCACAACATTAGCACAGCAGATTTATGGTTCTTCTTCTTTTTCTTCTTCACTTCCTCTTTAATCGCTTTGGGTGTCAAATGTTGTCAGCAAGGTATGCGGTGCTAGACCGGTTGGCACTCGGTGATTAATGTGGTTAATTTCATGCCTGCCACATTTACTTTCTGTTGCGTCATTCTCTGACGCTCTGTTGACCTGAGTGCTAAGGCCACCTATACAAATCTGAACACAACACTTTTGATTAGCAAAGGAGCCTGCACCAGTCAGACAGTGCACTGTCCACCATGCTGTCACGGATTTTGAGACAATAATGTATTAATGACAAATGTGTTTCTCCTGCAGTGGGATCAATTATTCCTCGCAACAAAGTGATACATACGCTGGCGGTCTTGGCCAGGCCATGAACCAGAAAACTAATGTAAGTATTATAGATTTGTAGGTACAAGTTTGATTGAAAGAAATTAAGTTAAATACACAGTATATATCAGTTTTACAGGTACTGGTAATCTGGTAATCTTAATTTCAGCTAAATAGCAAACAGGTCACCTCATAGTTGCTCCACTCCAGTGCCAATGAAAAACACACAGAATGTTTATCACATGTCAAAGGAAATCCACAGCTCACAGTGTCACGCCATGCAATCAACTCAGAAGCTGGGTAGCCAAACTATATCCTTCCAGTCTACAAATGGAGCAAAAATGCAATGGCCACCGTCTGGCAGAAGCAAAAAAATTTGCCACGGCTAAAAAAATGGCAGTGCCTAGCGTCCATTTTGAACTGAAGCATTATGTGAGGGTTAATAAACGGTCACCCCAGCAGTACCCTCACTAATAGCTGGGGAAGGGACTTAGGACATTACATCCACCAGCAAGCCTCACCCCTACAACGACCTGACTGCCGTCGTTAATGACTGTTTACCCAACAGCCATGCAGTTCTTTGGCACGAAGGAGACACCTTGAACTTGGGTTTTGGACTGCCGACTCCCTACAAGATGTTATGTTATGTTATCACAATCAACGTCACTGCACATTGGGCATTCCCATGCGTGCTCAGTCCTCCGATGCAGCAGCCACTCCAAAGTACTTCTACTAATTGTTCCCATGAGAAGCTGGTTATAATGTCTCCTATCTCGGTCTCGAAGATGGAAAAGACGTGCTTCACCATGCTTTACTCCCATGTCACGCAATCGTGTTAGTGTCAGGGGTTCCTCATTATCCACTAGCCCAGTCCGTACAGCGTTGACGATATCTGCTCTGTCCATGCTTTTCTCCGCAATCCTTAGTGCAGTGCTTGCCAGTTGGTCTGCTCGCTCATTTCCCTTTACGCCTGCATAGCCCAGGTAGCTCCAGGTTGCGGAAGTTTAGTGCGATTTTCGAATGCTTTCTACCCATTCACAGCGCATACCACCTGTTGCTATCTTCTAAAGCTTTACAGGTACAGTGACAGTAGAAGAAAACAAAGGATGTTGCAGGGATTGGCCCTTATTAGCAGAACAACGATGAGAAACAAAACATCACACACATACACACACACACAGAATTAACTTTGAAGTGCCTACATTATGGCATTAAAATATTATTGTAAACAAATGACACAAAAATAACGTGAGAATTATATAAAGAATATGATACTTATCTGGACTGCTATGAAATTTGTGTATTAAAAACAATTCAGAGCGGTCCAGTCAAGTCCACACACTTCATATAATTCTTTTGTTTATTATTTTATTTATAGTACACATGGCTGTGAAGTCTGTTGTGTTCACTTTAGTCTGATACAGTGGTCTGTTTCATATGAATAAGTTGATTGAATCTTTAAGATTTGGTTCTGGATTTGAAATGTTCGTTTGGACTCTTAAGACTGCCTTGATCTGGTTTTTTCCCCTCGTAAGTGCTTAAGAAGACTTTAAATTCCTTTGACTGTAAATGCAACAAGACTTGCAGCTGTCAAGATTTGTAACTTTAAATTTGTCTCTTTTAAATTGTCACTATTCTTAGCCACAAATATAGTTATTATCTCACCTCTGTTTACAGCTGTTTCTTTCTTTAGCTCACACAATTTCCTACTATTAAGTTTCTTCAGCGAGTAAAATTGATTAATTTTTTCTTGTGTGTTAATATAGCAAGAACCAAAGAAAGTAAGACATTTCTGGCTATTTAGTTTGTATGTATATATTGTGAAATTGCTTTGCATAGTTTTGCAAGAATTGTAAACTGCACAAAATATCTTATGTATGCTTTGATATCTCCAACAATAACTTGAGAATCATTGATATTGGGAACAGGATCACATTTATGTTACATATTCACGGGCACACATGATATTTGTGAACTGTCACTCTGTTCAGCTGCATATTATATTAGTGGTGGTTCAATATCTGCATTTTATTCTATGGTCATTCAGTGTGGTTTCAGGGCAAACAGTTGTCATCTTTTGCCATATAAACATCTTAACAAAATATTTTTCAAATATTTGTTAGAAAGAAATGCATCCTTGTAATTCTCTTAAACCAAACCTAAGACACCAGAGGAAGAGAAGAAGAAGCAGAAGATATTTGGATTCTTTATACATTTTGTATAAAAGTCCAAAGAGTTTAAACCTTTGAACACCCAGCAGACAGGCAAGCATGATAGCGATTATGACACCGCAGCCATCAAATTACTAAAATTATTCAATTTAATTTTTCTGTTTGCTTTTATAAGCAAAATAATTTTGCGTGTGTGTAAGGGAATAATCAGTAAATACAAACATAGCATAGAATTAACTCCTTTCCTTCCCTTTGACCATAACATATTATAGAAATCCTTGGGAGAAGAAAACGAAAACCTACGGTATGAGTAATGCTCTAAATTCAAAAAAATAAATAAATAAGGAACCAGAAACAAAACCTCCTCCCCCCCCCCCCCCCCCCCCCCCCAAATGGCTGTCCCACTAATTGGTGTCCTCAGCTGCTTTGAATGTTAATTTTATGACAAGGTCCTATTGCATTAAATGTTCTTGATCTACAAAGTGTGGTTTGTGCTGTGTGCATACAATGTACAGCTAATAAACACATCTATATAGACTTCCACATGCCAAGGTAGAAAATAACAGATTGTGTAAAAAAGAATTAGCTTTCAACAATCTCAAGGTACTTACTCTAGTGTTTGTTGTTTACTGTATACATGTTTTACATTTCTTAACTAATTCTTTCCTATTATTATATTATATTATATTATATTATATTATATTATATTATATTATATTATATTATATTATATTATATTATATTGTATTATATTATATTATATTATATTATATTATATTATATTATATTATATTATATTATATTATATTATATTATACTGTATTATATACTAATAAGGGTACTAAACATAAAGTATTTGCATACTGTTTCATATATTGTGAAATATTTTGTTTATTTTTTTAAAATGCCAAACCAAATGTGAAGTAGAACTAATGAGCTTCACAATACAACAATCGCAGATGACAGAATAAATGTTGCAGTTAGAAAGCATTCATCAGCACATAACACAAATGGACAATAATACAGTTACCAACAAGAATATATAAATGAATAACTAGCATTTTTTTTTTCTTCAAAGTTGTTGACCTGTTTGTCTTGTACTATGACAGTTGTGGGTTGGATTTCAGACTCTGTCCTGTGACTGCAGGTTTTAAAAGATTCCTGGGAGTTGTTATTGGGGCTACGATGGAATTTTGTCCTTTGTGTGTTGCTGTTAACACACAGACAGCCATTCTTGAAGAGACACATTTTACCACATATGGATAAAACTTAGTGTTTTTAAATCCATCTGCTCGGCTGTACAGTTTTTTTTTGTTTTTTTTAAATTGAGTTGTTGAACTGTAGGAAAGTAAGTAAAGGAACCTTTGTGTACACCAGTGGTGCATGTGATACCAGACTCATATTTTGTATAGCCCTATCAGCACTTGGTGGGGGTTATGGACAACCTCACTCCGACCACCTTTACATCCTGGGATACTACCCGGTACCCACTTTAGACTGGTAGTCAAGTGACCTAGTAGCCAAAGTCAGTTTTTTTTAAGGGGGGGGGGGGGGGGGGGGGGGGGGGGGGTAATCTAATTCCATAACCTTTGAGCCTGCAGGTGAGCACTGTGGTTTTTAAAGTGGGATTTTTTTTTTTAAAACAGATACTAGTGCAGACTAAATCACAACTAAATTCACAACTGAGAAATGATCAGAAACAAATGCAACTCTTTACTGCTTCTTCACAGATCTCAGATGATGAAACTCTAAAGGTATTACATAAATAATTGTGTTATATCTTTTGAGCAATGTGAAGTTTGATCCCCCTGATTTCAGAGAAATGCTGGCTTGTTTTCACTTTTGGTTACAGTTTTAGTGTGTCTGTATAATATTTTGTTGGAGTGAGAGTATCCTAGAGCCATTATGAGCTTTTTTCAGCTGTCTGTGTTGTAGTTTTCCATAAAATTCCTTTGACTTTATTATCAGATCATTTGGTGTCATTACTGTGATAATAATCTTGCTAGGCATATTCACATGTTTAATTGTGCTTTTTCAAGTTTTTTTCTTTGTCCTAAAGACTCATTTCCAGATATACATTAACATCTGAGTGTATTAACAACCCTCCTCCCACTTTTAGAGCAGTTTCCTTGTCTGTATTATATATTCCACCTTATTTATTATTGTTATTATTTTTGGGTGTGGAAATTAATCAGGAATGGGTTATTTATCATAATCATCATCATCCCGTAGCACTGTATGTCATTGGGTCACCAGTTGCTGTTGATTCTCTGATCAGCAGTCTCCACTTTTGATGGTCAGTTGCAATGATCTGGCTTATTTTGCCTGACTGTTGGTTCCTTACCTCTCAGGCAGATCTACTTGAAGGAAACTCCCCCTAATTTGTTACCTTGTGCAACATACTTGTTAGAGAGGCAGTGGGTCTATTCTTGTTTCCCTCCAGAATGGGACCCCAGAACCCACATGGGGAAGTTAATGAAATAATTGTCATTGACCGAAAGAAACCATCAACAAAAACAGTAAAAGTTAAAAAAAAATACCTTTTTTTTTTGTGCCAGTGCCACATGGAGCATGTTGGACTATATTTTTATAGACTAATCGTCACTCGGTGGGTGACGTTGTCAACATCATGGTAGTCTACCTTTACTTCCCAGGAACATTCCCCGTACCCCATTATAGGCTAGGGGGGCAAAGTGCAGATTTGAACCAATGTTCTTATTTGTGGGCAGTTCTTATCTCGTTTGTTCCCTGTGTGGGTTCCAGGACCCCAGTGTGGGGGAAAACAAGAATAGACCCACTACTTCCCCAACAAGCATGTCGCAAGAGGTCGACTAATTGGGAGCTTCCTTGGAAGTGAGTATATCTGCTAGAGAGGCAAGGAACAACTAAC